TATCTTTAAGAAACTTGATGGTGAAAGGGAGGAGGAGTGGAGTGGTGATGTTTCGGGAGAACTGAGCTTCCTGGCAGTGGGGGAGGGGGTTCTCTCCCCTTTCTTTCAGTTCATCTTCACGCTCAGCCATATGATATGGGTAAACCCTGCCCCATGGAAATACTTGTAGTCAGTAGACTGTGTGATCTGGGGCGGTTCTGTTTGGAAAGGGGGAGGATGCTCCCCGCACGCTTGCTCCTTTGGGCTTGAAGGGAATAGCATCCTCTGCAGGGTGTCAGGCCACCAACCCTGAGCACAGACCCAGGGGCCTCTCTCCAGCTCCTCTGCAGCCCAAGGAACTCGCTCTGTGTCCTGCCCCTGGCCCTGCCCTGTCACCCTACCCAGTCATAACCTTGAGTGAGGGCAGCTGCTTCCTGAGTGACCCCGTGGGTGTCTCTTGTTTCCGCACAGGGATCCTCACTGACTTTCTAGGGTCTGAACAAGGGAAAACTGCACACAGCGGGCTAGCAGGAAGTAGTCTCACTGACACGGTCCCCTGTGGAGACTGGGGCTGGTCACCCCGTGTTCCGTTCCTGCTGCCTTGACTGTGCGTATGCATGCACGCGCGTGTGTGCGTGTGCGTGTGAGTGTGTGTGTGCATGCGCACGTGTGTGAGTGTGTGTGTGCATGCACGAGCGTGTGTGCGTGTGCGTGTGAGTGTGTGTGTGCATGCACGCGCGTGTGTGAGTGTGTGAGTGTGTGAGTGTGTGTGTAAGTGTGTGTGCATGCACACGCGTGTGTGTGCGTGTGTGTGTGTGTGTGTGTGTGAGAGAGAGAGATCTGTCTCCAGCTGTGGAATCTGACTTCAAAGCACAGGTGAAGTATGAAGATGGAAGGGAAGTCAGGAGAGGGGGTGGCTTTGGTGGAAAGCTGGGTAGCATCATTGCCACAATGTGGACAGCTAAAGAATCAGGCAAGGGTCCAGGCCTCAGAGAGTTCCTTTAGCTGGAGGAGGCCCTGACTGGCCACGTGATCAAGGCACACTGTGGCTTGCTTTCTATGATCTCTGTTGCGTATTTTTTAAGCAGAGCTGGGGTGGGAGAAAAGTCCAATTCCCAGCGCTTCAGCTAGCGTAGAGTAACTGCCACCAAAACAGCTGTTAACATGGCCGAAGCGTGTTCCTGTTAACTGCTTGAGTCAAGTTAAAGGCCTGGCAGGGATACATTCTGGCTGCTTAGCAGGGAGAGAAATTTCAGAGGTAGCCACCACAGATGGTAGCAGATGTCGTGAAACTCGGAGCGGAAGCCATCAGGGACTCTACCATCTTAGAGCTAAGCAGAAACGCCAAGAACTGCTCAGCTAAGCCAGCCACCAATTTTATACCCCGAGAACTCTAGGAAGCCAGGGAGGGTACTGAAGTGTCCTTAATAGATTGCTTTTGTTTTCTCTATGCACAAATCTGTCAGCCCATGGCTTCTCGAAGATCCAATATGTCATCTGTGTGAGGATGTACACGTGTAATCGACACGGCAGCACTGGCTGCTTAGCGTGGTTCCTACCATGGTGGCAGGACCAGGTGCGACTCTCTGAGTTCCTTGTTCACAGTGGGACCCTATAGAGTGTGGAGTCACAAGCTTGGGGCAGAAAAAGCAGCTCCACCATCATCCACTGATAGGTGCCGCCAGTTACTTAGCCACTGAGAACTCCAGTTTCCTCATGGCTGAAAGCAACAACAACAGCCCATGTTTTACTGAGTGTTGGGATGGGCACGGTTGACACTGTATGGAAAACCCTTGTGCAGTGCACTGAACACAGTAAGCATTTAAACAGTGTTAGGCGGCATCCACATCCCAGTTTCTGGAACTGTAGGCTAGGACCCTGTAGTCAGGGTTGCTATTGCTGTGAAGAGACACCATGACCACAGCAACTCTTATAAAGGAAAACATCTGATTGGAGCTGGTTTATTCTCATCGTGGTGAGAAGCATGGCAGTGTGCAGAGAGATATGACGCTAGAGGAGCAGAAGGCTCTTCATCTGGGTTTGCAGGCAGCAGAGAGGGGGGGAGGGAGAGAGAGAGGGAAAGAGAGGGAGAGGGAGAGAGGGAGGGAGAGAGAGGGGGAGGGAGAGGGAGGGAGAGAGAGGGAAAGACTGGGCCTGGCTTGAGCATTTAAAACCTCAAGGTCCACCCCCAGTGACACACTTCTCCATCGAGGCCACACCACCTATTAGTACCCTGGTGACCAAGCATTCAAATTTATGGGCCTATGGGGCCATTCCTATATCATGTGTCTGGATGTGATAGTTCACAGAAATTGGTAACACTAAAAGGTTTATGGGGCCATTCCTATATCATGTGACTGGATGTGATAGTTCACAGAAATTGGTAACACTAAAAGGTTTCTGAATGCCAAAGCACCAAAAAGTAATTCAAAATAAAACCGGTAAGGAATCTGGGGTGTCCTGGTAGTGTTCTCCCGTGTTACATCTCAGGGTTCTACTGCAGCCTTGGGGCTGAACACCCAACATTTCACTTTTCACTATGCTCTCCATGGCCAGAAACACCCCTGTCCAGATTCGAGGCACTTGGTGTGTATACTGTATACAGTTTTCTCCTATAGAAGCACAATGGCTCTGTTACGAAAACAAACACTATTTCTCCCTATTGCCCTTCCTCAACATGGGTCATATTAGTCTGTCTTTGGGTTGTATTGTGATAGAGTGTTTGGTTTTAAAAAGCCATGTTTTGAGTTGCTCATTATATAGTCTCATGAAACATCATTAAATGAATCTTGGCTTGAGGTTAGGAGAGAATTTCCAACAATTTCTGAAGTGGCCTTAAATATACTTCTATCATGTTGTACCAGCATTGGCGATTACAGAATCAAAATATCCATCAACTCTGGAAAACGCTGAAGTTGCTCTACATCCTGCCATATCAAGTACTCAGCCAAGATTTTATCTTTATGTAAAAATAAGCACATTCATCTCATTAGTATGCACACTTGCTTTAGTCTTTAGTAAGTGGTAAAATTAAATGTATATAAAAATTGTTTCAAAATACAGTTTTTGGGGGGCTGGGGAGACGGCTCAGTGGGTAAAATGCTTGCTGTAAAATCATGAGGACCTGAGTTTGGATCCCCAGCAGCCATGAAAAAGCAGGGTGTGGCAATGGTCACCTGTAACCCAGCAGTCAGGGTGGGGTAGGAGTGGCCGTGGTAGAGACAGATGGATCCCTGAAGCTCACTGGCCAGCCAGCCTAGCCAATCAGAGAGATCAAGTTCCAAAGACTAGGGTGCAGAGTGATGGAGGAAGATGACCAAGGCCAATCTCTGGCCTCTGTATGAACATGCACCCTTCGCATACAAGTGCACAGAACACACACACACACACACACACACACACACAAAGTAAAATAACTATGCTTTACTATCAGTAATTCAGATTTGTATAGCTAAGTTACATACTACATCCAGGGGTCACATAACAACTTTTTCAGACAAAAATGAATTGCCAGTGAAAAGTAAGAAACTCTGACCTATACCCTATCTATCTGGTAGTGCCATGGTCCCTGTGCTTCCCACAATCTTCTACCCACATTACAGTTACATGTAAAGTCTGAGCTCTGGTCATGCACAGGACAGGGATGATGAAACCCACATCACCCACCCAGCTGAGTTCACACTATCGAAATGGAGCCTTGCAAACATGGATACCCTGTAACAAGGAGCCCTCAAACTAGACTTCTCAACATAGGGGATCTGTTCACTCTGGGCCTTCCTGACCCTGTGCACACCCCAACTGGCACCACCCACGTCATTCCCGTCTTCCTGTCTTTCTTCATGTAGACTTGGCTTCCTCAACCACCACTTTCTCTCTCCACAACACCAAGGTATATGTCCTAGTATTCCAATTACTGACTGAAGAACAACCCCCTTCCCTTGGGCTCAAGTAACAGGCCACACATCACTAACTTTACCGCTTGGTTTTGTGTGTCAACTTGACACAAACTAGAGTCATCAGAGAGGAAAGAGCTTCTGTTGAGGAAATGTCTCCATGAGATCCAGCTGTAAGGCATTTTCTCATTTAGTGATCAATGGGGGAGGACCCAGGGCATGGTGGGTGGTGTCATCCCTGGGCTGTTGGTCCTGGGTTCTATAAGAAGGGCTGAGCAAACCAAGGGAAGCAAGCCAGTAAGCAGCTCCCCTCCATGACCTCTGCATCAGCCCCTGCCTCTGAGATCCTGCCCTACTTTGAGTTCCTGTCCTGACTTCCTTCAGTGATGGATTATGATCTGGGAGTGTAAGCCTTTCCTCCCCAACTTGCTTTTTGGTCATGATGTTTCATCGCAGCAATAGAAACCCTGACTAAGACACCAACTTTCTACAGAAGACATGAAGACTAGGGGGGTAGATAAGTAGGTAAGGATACAGGATGTTTTAGGAATGAACCCACTCTGCATAATGCTACAACAAGTAATACATGTCCTTATGTATTTGTCTAAAGGCATAGAATGAAAGCAGGAATATGAATGATGACTCTGGGTGATAATGATGTAACAATGTTGGTTCATCAGCTGTTAACAAAGGTACCACTCTGGTGTAGAGGGGTGATTCAGTGGTTTAGAGCACTTGTTGCTCTTGCAGAGGACTTGGATTTGATTCCCAATACCCACGTTAGCTTACAACCATCTGTAACTCCAGTTCCAGGGAATCAGACACGCTTTTTTGACATGTGTGTGCACCAGGCACACATATGGTGTACATATATAGGCAGGCAAAACACTCATACATATTAAAAATAAAGGGTACCGCTTTGTGGGGGATGTCGACACTGGGGAGCGAGGTGTGAATATAGGGACAGGGTATTCGCGAGAAATCTGTATACATCTTTCTCAGTTTCGCTCTATATCTAAGGCTGCTTTTAAAAAGTATTAATTTTATATACACGTGTGCGCACACACTCTCTCTCACACACACACCACACAGACACAGACACTACAGAGATGGGCTCTGACAAGTGTGAAAATTTAAGAAATCTAGTTCTTTTATTTAACACCAAAGCAAACATCGAGTGTTTAAAAAATAATGGCACCTGCTTTGAATTCATTGGTGACATCACCATGGGGGAGATCAACAGGAAAATTACATTTTTAGGCAGATACAAAACTATGTAGCGTCCCACAAGATGGGAATTCTGCAACAGAGGTTACACACAGCATTCCCGACGTTACCCGTCAAGCTTGTTGCTACTGACCCAGCGCATCTTAATTAAACACAGAGCACATTTAGCTGAAATGTTTCTTTTAGGACAAACACAGCAGACATGCTTTAAATATTCGAGAAGGGCAACATAGAAACCACCCCCAGACAAGGTGTTATATCACTTCCAGCCTCTTGAAGCAGAGAACCGAATCCATGGCAGGAAATTGAGTTTTTGCTTTATTTCTAATGAGTTACCCAGTCCCTGTTAATGATACAGCTTTAAAAGCTCTTTATTTTTGATACGAGCAGACCAATCTAGTTGTTTTCTGTGATTTGTCTTTTTAGACCCCTTAAAAGTTACCTGCTAACTTTGAACCACCTCTCCAAATAAGCCTGTATTCATTCCCCAGGCCAAGGCCAAAATTAAGGAAACATGCAACATAGGCTGTTTTGTTTAACCACACACATCCTTATCAACAAGCATACCTGTTTTTCCAATGTTAGACTAGTCTATCTGGATTTGACATCAAAACAAAATAAAATAACAAAAAACCCTACTCTACATTCCCATCCAACACAAAATAATCTGGCATTTAAAATTCAACCCCGCCATGCGTTGGTGGCACATGCCTTTAGTCCCAGCGCTTGGGAGGCAGAGGCAGGCGGATCTTTGTGAGTTCGAGACCAGCCTGGTCTACAGAGCTAGTTCCAGGACAGGCTTCCCTGTCTCAAAAAACATAAGGAAAAAAAAAAAATCAACCCCAAAACACCAAACTAATTACGCCTGCTGTCGGAGAGGTGGCAGAACAGTAAGTATACAGAGGGCAATACTTAAATAAAAGCAAGACTGGCAGGGTGTTCACGTGAATGAAGGCTGATTGACAGAATAAGAACACTGGAAAACTACGGAGCCACGAGTCAGGAACTTGGGATGGGGAGTCCTGTGTTCACAGCCCAAAGTTCAGCGAGAGTAATTCCAGTTATACTTCATTGTGAGTGGTTGCTAACTTTGTGTGTGTGTGTGTGTGGGGGGGTTGTTGTTCCAGCTTAATCATATACAAAACATGAGCTCAAAAAATTCAAAACCCACAGGGAGAACACTTTTAATATTTGTTATCCTTAATATTTTAAAGTCCTGTTCTGTCCTCAATAATCACTATTCTGGTGATCAATCGTGATGATGTCACCGAAGATCTTGAGTCCAGCATCTAGAACCCCTCCCCAGTGTCCCTAAATGAGCAGGTACTTGCCTACCCCTCTACAATCACAAGAAATACATGAGATGTTTACTGCCAACGTAAAAGTACAAAAGAAGACCGGCTGACTCTGCTGTGAATCAATTCCAATCCCAGGGTATGTCAAAGTTGTACCACTGACTCTAATTTCTTCAGTGTGTACAGTATATGTTCAAGAGAACAAAAGAGGGTTATAGCACTTAAGAGAATCATGAACTGTAGAATCAAAGTCTCCTAGACCTGTACAATCTTAGAAAAGAAAAAGGTTCATGAGCTCTCTCCACAAGACAGAAGCAAGGCTGTCATACGGGCTGATCGAGCATACCCAGGTAAAGAAGATGACTCCACATTAAATGGGAGTCAACAGAAATGCCAGTTCTTTAGAAGGAATTCATGGCGATGGGTACGGCTGCCTCCGTTAATTCAGGACCATGCCAGTTTCTAACAACAGATTCTGCCCAAAGCTCAGACTGAAGGGTGTGGAGTGTGCCGTCTCTAACTTCCTTCCCTACTCTCTCACCAGGGAGAGGAAACACGGATCACAGGTCTGAGAAGTGCCAATCAACAGAGCCTGTTCTTTCTGGGTTCTTCTGGGGTCCTAACTACACCTCTAAGGCTGCATTAATACCCATTCTGTAAACCACCAGGCGCATTCACCCCAGGCCTGGCATGCTCTATTCATAACCGACAGGAGGAGACCAGCCGGGCCCAGCTTGCTTCAAGGTGCAGGGAGATGGAATCCAATGCCTCCAGTACGGGAGCAGGCTGTTAAAATGCAAGAGTAAAGAACGATCATGGTTCTTTGGACTAGAGAACGCCATCTGCCCCTATGTGGGGACACAGCCATGGGTAAGATGGAGCTGGGAACTCCCCCATCCCTGATTTCCAAGTACTTAGCATTTCACGATGTTTATTACCTTTCAAAAGCCCGGCTCTGGAATGGGTTAGGGTGATGGTTAAATAATTTGTGAATTTACTAAAATTGCTGAATTATTGATTTAAAAGTTGGGCGTGGGGAGCAAAGGCTGGAGCTGTGTGAGGCCCACTCATATAAGCTGGCCTCGTCTAAACTGTTGCGCAATTTTACCCCTGCCCCTACCCTGCCGCCCCGAGAATGCCCCTAAGAACAGCCGTTTGCAAGTGATGATACTTAGATCTTTGAGAGTATCTTCTGGAAGAAAGTAAATGTTTAACAGTACTCCTTCAGCAGGGGCAGTAGGAGGACCTTCCCTCTCCTCTTTGTGGTACACGCAGAAAACCAGTTTCATTGGTAAACGGCAGCCATGACCACAGCAGCCCTTGTATGTTTTCTGCTCACTGGCAGTGCGTTTACCCTGTGACCTCAGAACTTGTCTCACCAAGCACCTGCATGACGGATGGCGGCAACTGACTCCTCTTATCCTCGCTGCCCTTCACGCCCCTCCGGGGACCCTCCTGACACTAACCTCGTCACCATCTGATTAGACCAAAAGTTCACATCCCTCTTGGGCCTCCAGGGCCCTGCCTCGGCACACCAACGCTTTATGAAGTTTGATTTTGTTGTCTTCAAGAAAAATGAAACCCGGCGACACGAGCATCATTCCTGAACAAGCTTTGCAACCCGATCTCGGCAGACCTGAGAGTAAAGTGAATCACATACTGTGCATCCGCCCTCTAAGGGGATTTATCACGGTTAACGATCGCCAGAGCATAAGCCTCCCCTGGGATGCTCGAAGCAGCCCACGGCAGTTATCAAAGCTACGGTTTGATGAAAGGGAGGCTGCATGCTCCCCGAGGGCAGGGCACTGCTAACCAGGTAAGATGAAGTCAGGTGTGTGGCTCCCTGGGCACCAGAAGAGAGCCCATTTGGAAATCCTAGTGTCCTACTGTGTAAAGTGCAGTGCTAAGGGTTAGGCAGACTTTTGCCGGAAAAGCAGCTATGAGATTTCCATGTTACAAGGACATACGCAATTGACCACGGTGGACACTGGGGACATAATAGGACACAGAGTCACCGGTGGACAAGTGGAATAGGTCACGGAGGGACTGACTGAGCTTCCGCAGACCACCCAAGAGCTCAACACTGCCCAATAGCTTGTGTTTGCTTGCGTCCCTGAATGCTGCCCTATCCTTGTTGTTTGTGGGGGCTCAGAGAGAACACAGCTGTTTGCAATCATGAGGCTCAATGTGACAGAGATTCATGGGAAGGAGAGGGAGGCCCTTTTCCTCTGGGTCGCTCTTTATGCCAAGTGCTCAACGAACAGGGCTCTACCGTGCCGAGCTCGCCAGGTGGGCTGGAGATCTGCTCTGATTAAGGCAGTGAGCAATGAGGGAGAACTCCGGGACCGTTTCACGTTAAGCACGTACAGGGACTGACTGTGTTGGCAACCGCTACCGGGTTAGGAGACTCTGATTATTTACACCACACAACTCCAGTCCTTCTTGCCATCTTTGGCACAGCCGCTCATTCGGAAATTTGGTAGTATGCACAGAGTTTTCTTCAAAATAAGATCTTGGGAGAATGTGAAGGCAAGAACCAGTAGCTCATCTTGGGATTATTATCCTTTCTATGGCACACAAAATATGGTCCCAGTTTTTACAAAAGATTGCAAGAAGAGTCACGGCAAAGAAGGTGCCAAGAATGTGGAAGCGGCTCTTCATCATGGGCGACACGAACTTGGCCAGGGTGGACACACACACCAGGATGACGGTCATGAAGGCCAGAACCACGTTGATGCACTTTCCCAGCAGCACCTTGGCGTTCACGGCATCCGTCTGCAGGGTCTGCTGCTCCTGCTGATGCAACTCCAGCTTGGAGATGCGTGTCTGGCAAGATTCCAAGGCTTCCTGCGGGCAAGAGGAGAGCAAGGATCAAATGCCACCGGAATCACAGGCCTTGCGGGAACACAGCCCAGATGTGCCGGAAGCTCCGGCTCACAACACCTAGTGCCCGGGCAGTTTCGAGAGACAAAGAGAGGGTCCTGCGAGAGATGGCAGGAATCCCAGGACTCATTCTACCCTGTCACGAGTAGTGTACACATGTGTATGCAACCATAAAACACCGTGAGTAAGCAGCTTGGTGATCTGCTTTCGTTCGTTTGTTTGCTTTTTTTGGTGACAAGGTCTCTTGGAAGTGGCCCAACCTGGCCTTGAAGTTCTAGTCCTCCTGCCTCAACCTTCCCAAGTGTTGGGGTCTGAGACTAGAGTCACATACTATCTGTCATACCTGGCCATCTGTTGGCACTGTCAGGAACAAAGGGGTGAGGCTATGTCTGTACACTGCAAGGACTCTTAGGACAAAAGTCCAAGAGCATCCCTGGACACATCTCCTGTCCAACCCTCCGCTGGCTCCAGGAGCGCAGCATCCGTCATCTATCCTGCGTAATCCATTTTCCAGTCACACAGTCCCAATTCCACTGGTGGACACCAGGACCTCTTGCTTGCCATGATTTGACACGAATCTCATACCCATACGTTCCCTGTAATAGTCCGCGGGACCTCTGAACGGTGTGCATTTCTGACGCCTCTTTCATAATACTTTTCAAATCCTTGTTTGGCCTGTGCTTGGCCGTCTTCTCCGGCCTTCCCATGGTGCTCTGGCCGATCTGAGTTCTTCCAGGCTCTGAAAACACTAGGGGACCTTGTCCTTGCAGTCTATGCCACTGGAAACCCTTAAGCGCCTGCTCTCTTCACCCGTGGATCTGCCGTGTATCTTGGAGGTCTCATCCTCAGGGATGAGGCTCGCCCTCCCTGACCCAGCAAGTCTCCGGCCACCCTTCCTACATACACAGCTGGAAGGCACACATGTTGCACGCAGACAGGGACTAGCCCCCCCCCCCCCCCCCCCCCCGCCCTCACTGTCCATTTTGGAACATAGAGGCTGAAGAGCCTGGTGGCCAGTAACAGGGCGTCAGTTTCCAGAGGAAAGCCAGAGCCCTTTGGGGACAAAGAACCTCAGTAGAGGCAGTTCGGCAGGCCTGCTCCTCCACCAGTATTGTAGAAATCATTTGCCAGTGTTGCTTGTGCAGCTGGGCATGGTCACCTTTCCAGGCTTTAAGCAAGTATAATGGCTCCAACACTGATTTGCTTTTCTTCCTGCTGAATATACTCTCTGGGCCAAAGAACAGGGTTCTCTGTTACTATAGCAACTTTCATTATACTAGGCTCCCGACCAAAGGATAAAACTTTCTCAGATCTTCACATTTAAGCAGCGCTGGCTGTCGGCACTAACAGGCATGTGCAGGAAGACGGGCTTGCTTTCAGCTTCGGGGTCCAGGATTTCTCCCATTTTAGGCATGGTATGGAAAAGGTGACAGAGCAGGACAGAGGGTTGTGAGGGTTGTCACCTTTGGCCCTTTCTCTCCGTTTAGGGTAGAGAAGTCCATGTCTTAGAATATTTTTTTTTTAATTTGTGGTTAAATTTTATTACTTTTTTATACTTTTTTATTAATTTATTTTTAAAATTTCAATCACAGTTCCCCCTCCCTCCTCTCCTCCTTCTCTCCCCACTCCCTCTCTCTACCTCCCATCTCCTCAGACTAATCTTGGAAGTCACCTTAGAACTGCTACCAATTTCTCACTAAAAGAAAAATCCAAGAGAAGTAGGCAGTTTGCCCATGGCAGCAAGAGATATTAGGGTCCACGGTGGCTAGAATATCCTTGATCTAGTATTTACCTTGTTTTGGATGAAGACAGACAGAGGAAGGGATTATCTTCAGTAGTTTAAATTGGACATTCAGGATTTTAAAGAGGGTAGGGGGGAACCAATCACTTAAAAGAACCGCAAAAATTGTGTAGGTCTGAGGGCACTCGCCATATGCGCCATTGTAGCCCATCCCGGCCGGAGGCCCACTTACAAGAACTGAGGACATAAACAACAAAGAGGAGACTGGAGAGGTTTGATAGCTAAGAGCCTTGAGGAACGTTGCTACTCAACAGTAAGATAAAAAAGAAAAGCAGCATTAACTTCTTGGCTGTTTATTACATGCCTGGTTAAGACTCTGGGACAAGAAATATCGGGTCCTATTTGATCTTCTGGACTTTTTGAAGACAGGGAATCGGAGGCCTGGTGCACTGACTTGGCCAGGCTCACGCCGAGACTGAGTAGTAGAGCCTTCTTTGAGCCTCAGTGACCCTTGTCATTTATCAAGCTGTCCTTTCTAGTTCTGCCTAGAGACAGAGCTGGAAAATGTTGAAACGAACGCTTCTGAAGTTAGCGCTCGCCCTGTGGAGCCCCGCCCTGGATCTGACCTCCTCACTCCCGGAATAGGCTTCTTAAAAAAAGTGAGAACAATATTAAAGCAAACCAGCCCCTAAAAGTGGAGATGGCACATTTACACGCCACCCAGTGATATCCCAGACCTGCTCTAAAGTAGGATGGCCTTGGGGCTGGTAAGGAGGTTCGGTGGGTGAGAGCGTTTGCTGACGATTCCAATGAACTGAATTTGATTCTTGAGATCCACAGGTAGAAAGAGGAACTGACACACACGCACACATGTACACACACACACACACACACACACACACACACACACACACACGCACGCACGCATGCACACACACAGTAAACATAATAAAAAATGTTTTCAACAGAGTGTCTTAATAGATAACAGTTCTGTTCCCCAGGCCAGTGAGTCAGTGGGGAAGCTGAGGCTTTTCACTCTGAGGCCAGCCTACATAGCCCCCCAGTGTCCTCTGCTCTCTGGGGACAATGATTCCCGTCAGTGCTGGAGCCCTGCTTCCCAGAACTGTCCGAGCAGACCTCTGGGAGCAGCAAACCCAGCCTCCACCAAAGCAGAGTAACACGTAAGGGGCCTACCTACAGCTCACACACAGACTACAGAGAAAACTGAAACACGAGACTCAAAATTCCCCTCCCTGGTTGTTCTTATGGCTTCTTTTAGGCAAGTGATCGAGAAGCAAGCCTTCACGGCGGCCTAGGCGCTTCGGGAGGAAGCCTTCGCTTGTGTCACAAACTGTGTGTATCTGCTCATCCCTTCCCGCCAACCTTTTGGGTCCCGCCTGTCCCTTTCAGCCCAGCCTTCTTAGCCATTCCTAAGGGGCAACTTGCAAGGCCTTGCTCAGGTCACTTCACCTCTTTGTGCCTCCGTCTCCAGATCTGAGAAATGGGGGCAACAACAGGAACAACCTCCAAGGGCTACTGAGTAACAGGAAAAAGAGAGTCGTGTACAGCGCTTTGGTAGAGGCTGGCGGTCACACACTTGAAGTCCTCACACATACAAAGCAATTGCTTTAAAGGTGAAGAGACTCCAGGTTTGCTCAGAAGCACAGTAGGGAAGTAACAGACCCGGAACTCAAGTCCAGTGTCTACGGGGGAATGCTGGCTGGCACCCCCCACTCCCTCCTCCTATCCCGGCGACTGGGGTGCAGTAGGACCGGATTTCTGGGGTACTGGAGCTGTACCACCCAATGTGGCTCTTGGTCACCCCCTGCCAGCACAGGAAGCTCCCTGAAGGCAGGGCTGCCTAACATTTCCTAACATTTTGGTGGTGTTGGGTTTAGGCTAGTGATAAATACTTGCCAACAGAGTTAGGCAACAGGGGGGTACAGGGTAAAATCTCTCAGTCAACACAAGCCAGGAGGGCCAGAAGGTGGATGGGGAGTGTCTGTGTAGAGAAAACCATCTTGTCTAACATGCATGAGGCCTTCGGGAAATGCACCAAGTTAGACCGTCTACTTAAAGCCTGAAAAACCCCTCCACCAGGGTTCAGCTAGGAGGGGACCCATACCTGGATGTCCCTCGAGCGCTCATAGGCCTGGTAGGCCACCTTCTCCTCGGCGCTGGCTAGCTCCTGCTTCAGGTTGGCTGTCTCGTGTTGGTGGAGCTCTGTCAGGTCGTGAAGCTGGTCTTCAAGCCGCTCATATCTGAAAAGACACGAGTCCACATTGAGCATTCATCACACAGGCGTCCCAGCAGCATGTTCTAGAATGATCTCTCTCTCTCTCTCTCTCTTTTTTTTTTTTTTTTTTTTTTTTTTTTTGGTCTCAGGGCCCTGGCTTGTTTTCATCCCTTGGAAGCCTTTTTCTGAAAGAGTAGGTCTGTTTGTGGGGAGCATGATTTTGGTTACCCCCGAATCTTAATTCTAGAAGGGACCCGGTCTTTGCACTCCTAACTGTACGTCCTCATCTCTGAGACTTTAGCGGGGTCAAACCTACTTCTTTCTTTCTCTTTCCACCCATGTCAGACCAGCTCCTGGACTGGCTGCCATGACAACAGATTCACTTTGTCAGGGATGCAGTTGCCCCCAGCTCGGAGATGGCTGTACAGCAGGGACAAGCCAGGACTGGCCACATCTGCAGTGGCTTCTCCCTCTCCTGCCCATCAGTGATTGGGATTGCAATGGCCACACAGCCCATGAGGAAAAGAATGAATTTTCCACTCCTGTAGTCAAGCCCACCAATGCACAGTAACCACCCTGACATGCTTTTCAGCTCTTAGTTTCTAAATGCTAATAAACAATTAACCCCAGGGCTGGAGAGATGGCTCAGTGGTTAAGAACACTGGCTGCTCTTCCAGAGGACCTGGGTTCAAATCCCAACATTCACAACTGTCTGTAACTCCAGTTCTAGGGAATCCAATGCCTCCTTCCAGCTTCATGGGCACCGCACACACATGGTGCACAGATATATATTCAGGCAAAATACTCATACACATAAAATAAAAATAAAATACATCTTTTAAAAAACCCTGCTTTAAGATTAAGCTAATCACAAATTTCAGACAGCTTATGGGATAGCAATCCAAAACTCCAAAAGTGAAAGAAAGGCATCTCCTTTCCCATACCCACCTCAGAGAAGAGGATTTGGGACTTATTTGAAACTTTCTCCTGGCCACTTTGAAGATGGCACAGTATCTAGGGAGGAGGTCTTAGGCTGGAATGACTGTCCCACACCAGTTACAGCTTTTTATGTAGGTCATCTGACAGGATCATTTTTTTTTTAAAGTAGGTGAAAGGCTTAATTCAGATTTAGTGATTATCTTTGGATTCAGTTTCACGGGTGCCAAACATTATCATTGCTCTAGGCAAACCTTGTCTTAGGTCATGCACCCAACGTTATATCTCCAGGGTCACAAACAAAACACAGGACACATGAGGGCAAAGACAGTCCAAAACTCACACAATGAGTATTTGTGATTTGGGATAAGATATGCATCTCAAGCTATGTGGATGATATTAATTAAGGTCAACACATTCTCCAAAGCCATGGCTTAAAAAACAGTTCTTGTACAATGGATACCCTGAAATCAAAGATGCATACATAAAGTTAAAAAATGGTTTTGGGGCTAGAGATATGTCTCAGTCGCATAGCACATATGTAACATACAGGAGGCCTGGGTTCAAATCTTGGCATCATAATGAAGTTGCATAAACTTGGGGGAAAAGTCACATTCTAAATTATAACATAAAATTATACACCAAGTGTAAAACAATGTGTAAGTAAAACTTACAATTTAAATGTTATACCATATAATAAATATTCATAACCTACTTTGCATTTTTACAAATTAACCCACTGTGATCAAAGGACTTTGGGATGATCTTTTTATCAGATGGGGCAAATAATCTTGTATTTGGTTATCTACACTCTTTATTAAGAAGTGGTAAACATAAAAATGCCAGCTTCCAAAACACGTACTTCTACAAACAACTGAGAGACTCCAGAAGATTTGGATTAGTATTGGGTGTGTGTAGAGGCTGATGCCAGTTGTTTCCCTTAGCCATTCTCTACCTTATTTTCTGAGATAGGATCTCTCACTGAAGCTGGCTGGGCTGGATGGCCAGGGATGTGCTCATCTCTGCTGCCCCCTGTGTTGGTCGTACAGACCTGCACGGCTTTCTACTGCCCCTAGTGCTTACAGATTTTCCCTGCCAGGCTGAGCTTTTACATGGGTGCTAAGTATGTGGACTTACATCTTCATTCTTGGCAAGCACTTTATGCACTGAACCATCCCTCCAGTCCGCGTAAGGCTAAAAGACAAGTTTAGTGAACAGAATATGTATATTTCAACTTGGCATACCAAATAAAAATCTACCTCGTTGTCTATTGAATTAGGTTCACTTGTCTGGCATTGAGGGAAACAGGTCCCTAAATTAGTGTTATAAGACCGTCTCAGAATTAGGTTCACTTGTTCACTTGTCTGGCATTATGGAGGGAAACAGGTCCCTAAATTAGTGTTATAAGACCATCTCAGAAGTCTGATAAATCAATGTCTCAATATGTATGTGAATCACAGCTTGGGTAATGATGTTTTAAGAGACCCACACATGTAATGTCTTCCTCTGTCAGCCATAAGCCAGAAATTATGGAACTTAGAGTTATGAAGGATGGAGAGAATTATCAACTTTAAATGCCTCTGCATCCATACCCATATTTATTGCAAACACATTTATAAGCGCATGCCTTTTAGGCAGACAGCCTCTCTGGCTGGTAACTCACGGTTCCAAAGGAATCCCAGTGGGATGCGTTGGTATATGTACCTGTATCTCTCCTCTTGCAGGGTCTGAGAGATGAAGCCATACTCTCTCTTAAACTGCACCTTCAGGGTCTCGATGTCCTCTGCCAGCTGAGCTTGGGTGTCCTTGATCTCCCTCAGTTCCTCTAGGATCATGGCAAGCTTCCCCTGGCTGTCTAGTGTGCTGGCCCCACCGGCCCCGAAGGACTGGTTCCCGTTGCTGTCGGCCGAGCCTGACGTGCCACTAGAACACTCATCATCGCTGCCATACTTGGGTTTGTTCACGATGGTAGCGCTGCCCCCATAAGCCCTGGTGCCGGACTCGGGCCTGAACTCTTCCAGGGAATTTTTCAAGTGAGCGATGTTGTCGGCACTGCCAAACTTATTCCGGATCAAGTTGGCAAACTCTCTGGACTTACTGAAGACAAACACCGGGGGCGTGAGGGATACCCCTGGCATGCTCGACTTACCGCTCTCCAGGCAGTGGGGAGCAGTTCGGGACTTCACGTGGGCATCCTTCAGAGAGTGGTGTATTTCCTTCAGGCTGTCTTTAGAAATGTCCTTTGTGCTTCGAGAGGCCCCGTTCTGTTCGATCTCCCTCAGCTTCCTGTGGTACTGCTCCAGCTTCTTCTGCAGCTGGGCGATCGAGTGGGCAGACTTCTGATTCTTCTTCTCAAAAACCTGCTTGATGCGCCCAGCCTGCTGTTTGTCGGCGCTGCTGACAAGTTTCAGGTACTCGGCAACGTTCCCATCGCGGGATGTCTGCTCAATTTTTATCTGCTCTGTCACCTTTAGGATTTTTTGTTTCAGGCTGTCTGTGTTGGGTTTGACCTTGTGGAAGTCCAGGATGCCATCTGGGACATCGAAGTTGAGGTTGGTGTCTGAGCCCCCTCGGCGTATGTTCAGGGGCAGGCTGAGGGTATTCATGTCATGACGCTCTACCTGAAGGAACACGAGAAACACATTGACACCCGAAGCAAAGGACGGAACATGTTCATGGACGTGTGGCACACGCGTTAAGTCCTAGGTTGTCTGACTGACTGTGTCACAGGATGAACTCTACTATGTGCCTGAGTTTAAGAAGATGGGTCAGCCCAGTTCCCTCCTCCAGCTGTGTGCTGTACACTGCCTACATGTGAAATCTTATCTCCAGTGTAGCCGGTGGTAGCTGTCAGTTTCCAGGGGAGAAAGTGCACGATGGAACGAGGAACCCAGTCTGGTTTCTCAAGTACCCATGTAATTTGGGAGGCTTGGTCCCCACAGTGTACTTTACTATAGACAATGCCTCTGATTCAGAACCCAGTCATTTAATAAAACAAGGAAAAAGAAATTAGGGGGGGGGGGAAGAAAACAGCAGATACATCCATCGAGAAAATTATTTTTCTAATAGAACCATTAAGCAGATGTGACAGAACTGTATGGTGCATGATTAACTTTGATAACTGAATAATAGAACAGCATCTCTATGTGGAAACAGATAACTCCGAACTACAACCACAGTGATTAGGACAAGTGAACAGAAGATAACACCGTGGTTCTCAACCTTCCTAACGCTGCGCTCCTGTAACACAGTTCCTCGTGTTGTGGTGACCCCGACTATAAAACTTTCGTTGCTGCTTCATAGCTGTAATGTTGCTGCTGTTGTGAATCACACTGTAAATGGCTGAGACGAAGGATATCTGATATGCGACCCCCGGGTTGAGAAGCACTGCGCTAATACAAAGATTGCATGACATTGCTCTTACGCTGCTCACGGGTTGTCCAGGACTACAGAGTGGCGCTGGGCATTGTGGTCAGGGTTAGAAGCTGGTGCTCTGAGAGGTGAAGAGCAGACACTAAATTTGCTGATGTGTTCGATTGTTATTACCAAGCGAGGCAAGGATCATGCTAACCCCCCCCCCCCACACACACACATAGGAACTGAGTGCGGCAGAGCCAGGGTTTGAGCCCAAGCCATCTCAAGCCCTACTACTCTGATACTGTCCCTAGAGGGCGAAAAATGAGCCACTGTAGTCTGAACACAGTGTCTGATCGTAACATCTAAACTGGACCACCTCAGTTGTTGAGTTAATCCCCCTTGATAAGAACAATGCCTTGGCAGCATCCAACAGGGGACAAGGTAAGAGTCGGCGGAAGTTACCCCTTCCCATACTGTGAAGGGACCAGTATGCTAGCAGCAAAGGGTGAGTGAGGAATTAAACGCACAGACCCCACAGTGCGTGAGCGAGCCACTCCAGAGCACTTTCAGCATGAGTATGGAGTCTTCGCCACCAACCTAAATCCTGCCCAGTGCCTCATCAGCAAGGTGACTCTGACGCTAGGCAAAGGCCAGCAGGTGAAGCCTCCCACAAAACCTGCCCAAGTCAGTTAGTTACTGCTCTCTCTTGGTCCCTTTTCCTACGCACAGTTGCCATGAAACGGACCCTTTCAGGCTGCTTTATCTGGTGGAAGAGCATCATGAAGGATCACTTAAGCCAGGCTGGAAGGAAAGAGATTCCAAACCCCTGTGAGACTAGAAAACAAGGTGTCTGTAAACCGAGGGCTGTGGTACATGGCGATCTTCGGGTCCAGAAGGGTGGTCACGGAGAGAGCTCACGGAACCTATGCACCCGTGGCTCATTACTGAACTGGAACAACAATGGGTCCAAATGAAAACAACAACCACAACAAAACCTAGGAAATGCTGACTTGAGACAGACAGGGTAATCCATGGGGCCATGCAGCTACGAGGCTGGGAATTGAGCTGACTGTGACTCCCTAAGACCTCCCAATCGGAACCATGCCACCCGGCCACTGTGAGCCCTCAGCTCACCTTCCAAGCCTCAGTTGCATTTGACGGATGCCATTTATCCTAAGTGAGCCAGTCAGAGATGAGTGGAGAATGTGAGTATCCCGTGGACTCTCTCAGAGTCTGCTACTCATCTCCTTCTTATCAAAAACCTGCCATGCTTCTGACAGCCATTCAGACGCCTCTTCCCCCAAGCTCTCCCAGTGCCGCTGGAGGCCGTTTCTTTCTGCGAGCCTTCCTACTACCCTGTTATCGTGTGGTCCTACTTAATCCTGCTCATACTGCTCATCCATGAACTTCAACCACCAGTCATGTGCAGGAGGGTAAAACAGGAGAGATGATGTCACAGTTGTGCCCAGCCTTGGCCAGCACACTTCCTTTATTCACAAAGGGTTGTCAACAACTGATCAGCTGAAGTGACATCATCCTTTATTTCAAGGAGTCTACACTGAAGTCATTCAAGATACCAATTCATAGAATAAAAACAAACAAACAAAAAAAACCAAAACAACAACAACAACAACATAGTTGTAGGTTGTTCCAAACAGATTCAATTAAAAAGAAACCTAAGTATCACTGTGTGACAATATAACCAAGTCCACATGAGGACTTGGGGTCTGTAAATGAAGTGTGACTTACAGTCAGGGGAGACGTCAGTATGTAAAGCATGGCAACGGTAAACATTTACAATCTGAACATGTTTGTGTAACTGCATGCAGTTTAAAGCAGAGGAGGAGCGCTCCTGGGCCGTCAATCACAGCAACGTATTCTTCCCTCAAGGGGAATCCAAACAATGTCCATGGGTATGGCCTGGCCTATTTACACAACATTCTTGCCTTTTTTTTTTTTTTTTTTTTTTGGCCCAACCCTGTTTATGATCCCATAAACACTTGTTCTCACTCACCCTCTTAGAATTCATAGATAAGATCAAATTAAGTTATATAAATGTAGAAAAACAACTGACTTTTTTTTTTTTTTTTTTTTTTTTTTTGGAGAATGCTATGTTTGAAGTAAACCGTTTGAGGGGGTACCTGGAAAAACTCACCAGTAAATCGCCTTTCCTCTTTCTTCAGTTGGCCACACCCCTGGGCCGGTCAGCCACCCAGGCAGTCCCAATGCAATGGGCCTGGTTCTACAGGCAGGCCTTATCTACGGGTCAGTGTTTACTCCCAGGAGGCCGACTGACTTCTCCCTTACTGTAACAATGCTTGGCTGTCCTCAAGACTCTGGGTTGGGGAGAGCCCACAGCACTTAAAGCTCAAGTCAGTGGGTCTTGCTGTCTGTCAGCAAATCTTAGTTAAAAAAAAAAAAAAAAAAAAATCCCCGGAAGAGTGGCAGTAGCGTTTGGGGAGCACATCTTGGTTTTTAAACAAAGCCTGGCCACTGCAGAGATAACCGTGGGCCAGGGTTACATTGCTCAATGCCCACAGGCTTCCTGGGTATCAACAATGTGTGAGGGAGAGAGCTGAGCCCTCCCCCTGCCTCTCTGACCTCTGGATGGTGCAGTGTGCTTCCAGAGTGAGGCCACAGGAGGAGGTCAGAGGTTCCCCGATCACCTGCAGTCAGCCTGTCCGTGGACCGTATGTATGAGGGGATGTGGGTTTGCTCCAGCGCTGACAGTTACTAGCTGCATGCTTTGGGGTAAACTGAGTCACACACGTGGGATTCTATCACCCAGTCTCTGGAATGGGGGGAGAGGGGGGATAGAAACCAGAGCGAATGCTGTATGATCTGAGGAAATACTGCACACTACAGAGGGAAGCTGGTAATGGCATGGTCCAGACAGAGGGTTCTGGAGGCAGACTGCACTCTCTCTCATCTCGTTCTCCTTAGAAACTGTATAGCCTCTGAAAATGACTTAACCTCTCCGTGCCTCAGTTTCCCCCTCTACAGAATGAACTTAAAGATTCTTTAAAGAAGGGCGGGCGGGGGGGGGTTGACTTGGTGGGTAAGGGTGGTTGCTGTTCAAGCATGAGGACCTGAGTTCAAGTCTGTAGCACCCATAAAAAAAGCAGGGCATGGCTGTGCACACACATATAACCCCTATGCCACAGAGAATGTGGGGACCAGAGGATGGCTGGGACTTCCTGGTTTCTAGGCTAGCTTCAGGGTTAGTGAAAAGACCACGTCTCGAGGGAATACGGTGGGGAATAAATGAGGAGGACACTCAATTCTCTCTCTCTCTCACACACACACCCTCTCTCTCTCTCTCTCACACACACACACTCTCACACATACACACATTCTCTCTCTCTCTCTCTCTCTCTCTCTCTCTCTCTCTCTCTTACACACACACACACACACACACACTCTCCAGTCACACTGAAGAAATAAAGAGCCACAGCCCCTGGAACACAGAATGGCTTCAATCAGTGTTTCCTGTCATCTTCCCAATCTCGTTTTAAAAACATACTTATATGTGAAATGTGAGAGGAAAACAAGACCACTGCATGAACAATGGCTATTTTTCACAATGTGGGGCTATGAGGGGTCATTCTTTATCAGGCCTCTTCTGTATCGTCCCATGAAAAAAACGAAGCCGATGTAATATCGGTTTGGCAGGAAGAGTGGCTGTTTTTAAAAAGGATGGCCGACTCCCCCAGCCCTCCCACGACGACCTGGCTGTTGTCACTTGGGTAAAGGGCAGACCACCAGACCACCAGCATCCCAGCGAAATACCATTTCTAATTGTGTTTCCTTCCGGCAGCAGAGCCCTATCGCCTCAGTATTCTAGAACAAAGGCTGAGCCCTGCACACACGTCAAAACCTGACCCTGAGTCATCTGTGCAGCCAATCCGGCCTCTTGCCCGGTGTCCCAAGGCAACTCACAGCCACCCCGAATTCTGGCACAGTGTGGTCGTTAGGCGTGAGCTCAGGGCTCAGCACTTAGGCTCTCTGCGGTACATTTATCTCCCAGGTCCTTACAGGAAGAAGACAAGATGTGTGGGGACACCCTGAAAACCCGGGCAACACAATCAGAAGGAGAAGGGAGCTCCTGTGCACCCTCCACGGTTAGCATGTAACTTGTCCCACAGGTCCCCAGAGGTCCACGTACCAGCGCTGAGGTGGCACGCCATGTACCAGCGTTGAGGTGGCACGCCATGGGAGGAAGGCTATCATGGCTCTGCTGTCACAGATGCTGTCACAACCATGC